TAAATCTGTATCTTGTAGAAACCCATATTGAAGTAAGCAATAATGTTTTGGACTTCACTTGAAAATATGCGTTACTTTGGTAATGGTTCTGAAGGAGACAGATTCTTCAATGTATTCTTTCAGACATTGAGCGAGATTTATTAAGCCAAAATTGCATCAAGAGAGTCAATGTGACAATATTTGGGTGAAGTATTTCTTATTTAAATCTATACTCGAGTGTATGTTTGAAGACGTCACTTTCAAAAAGGGAAGTCGCTAGTAAACTGCTACCTAATAAGTTAATTCAATACAAATATAACCCGGGGCTTCAATCGCGATCATTTATTATAATTACGAGCAAGAACAAACAGTTCCGAGATAAAGCTGAGTAGGTATGTTCTCAAATTAGTTGCAGTCAAAGAAAGTACCGGCCGGGAGCACGGGAGCCGCTCGTAAAACATAAAAAGTGCTTATGTGGCGCTCACTGCGAGGGCTAAAACACGACGTCAGGAAGGAACATAATGTAGTAGCGGCCATAAAAAGTGAATGCATTGCGTGCACGTGGAGTGCATCGGGGAGGTGCGCGGTGTGCGGGGCTGCAGGGAGGGGCGTGGGGGTGTGTTTACCGCGCGGAGGGGCGGCCGCCGGGCGCCGGCAGCCCGCGCTCGCCGCCGCTACCGCCAGTGTTGTGGTAGGTCACACGGAGCGCGCTCGCACCGCGTGCCCGAGTCATTCACGATCGCGACTCCGCGCCGACATAACATGTAATCGGTCTCCTATTCATATTATCACTTCGAATTTTCTTCGCAATTTTATAAGGACTTTGATAAGAAGTTGTTGACCAACAATAAACTTTAAAAACAAGTTAGTGCAAATAAATGCATTTTGCGGTGAACCTAGAGTGAAATGGCCCTGTCGCTGCAGTCGACGCAGAATTCAAGAGGTTTGTGAAGTTTACATATAGTTAAGTGCGCCCTGCTGTCTCCTCGGTTGGCTGAATCTGGAAGTGCATGTGTGTAACAAAGTTTCAAACGCGCGGCGGCAAGTTGAGCGGCATGCGTGGACCGAGCGTTGCGATTGGCTACCCATACGCCCGCGCTTACCGCACACATGTTTATTTGCATTCAGCGAACTTTGCAGATTCAGTGAACCGTAGGCGGTAGAGAGCGCGTAGCCGCGCGCTACGTCTCCGCTACGAATCGCGCGTACTACGCTGCTACGAGATTTGGTTGATCTTTGTTTTACGTGAGATTTGCCAGTATTTTGTGATGTGAGTAATTTTTTTTGAACAATATTTCAATTTGACAAAATAAACAGTATTTTTTTAAGTTAATACTAGTCTAAAAATAATAATAAAAATTTTAATATTTTGAAATTTTATGGTCAAATTAATTAACTTTCCTGTTCACAAAATACTTGTAAACTTAGAATAAGTGGTGTACTGGATCATACATGTTAAGGTAGGTGATTTCTGCTTGTGTTTAAGCGATAGGTTTAACTTGTTTAGAATGATTTTATTCAGATAAATTTATTGCTTCTATGTTAACGTAGATATGACATGATAATGAAGGTAATATGATAGGTGGTACTTTTTTTATTTTAATTCCGTTTCGATACTTAACTAGCATAAAAACAAAACATTTGTAATATTATTGTTTCCGATTGAATGTGGAATATCAAAATTGATGACGACATTCATAATAATCATTCATAACTTAATGTACTACGGAAATCTTTCAATTATTTTAATAAATAGTCTTAATGTAATCTATACCATACATACATCTTCACTTTCTCTCCCGGTACTCGTCTCATACTACTAACGCCATCTAGCTACTATCATATGAACATATTTTTTTTATTTAAAATCCCATTTCTTATTATTTACGCTGTTTAATGCAACTATTTATTAACTCATCCGTCCATCCATTGTGGAATTACCATTACGCAATTGATAATAATAATTATAATATTTACAACAAAAAGATCATAAAATATAAAAATAATAGGTAATACTTAATTAACTATTTGCTTAACCATCAGGATATTACTTAAAACATGATATTGAGCAATATAAATAGCTGCTACCTACACGCAACATTATTGTTTCGCAATCTTTAAAAACACTTATAATAACAGAATAAAAAATACACAAAAAGATGAAGCATTTTACCTCTACTTGTTCACTGTAGATACAGATTTGTATTGTCTGTTAACAAACTTTTATTGCCTTATTTTAGAGTGCAGAATTTAGTACTAAAACTTTGTTGAACATTGCACGGCACATTTCTTTGATGTTAAACAAAGAATAATGATTGTTAACATTCATTACGTAAACGATTAATTATATCAATCCGTTTTATATCATTCATATAATTCATATAAATTGATGTATGGATGTTAATTCAGAAATATGCGAAAAGCTAATCATGTTTCGAAACCAAATAATATAACAAATTATTTATTGGTTACGATAATGTATTAAGTGGCGTTAGGGAAATGTTTATAGGAATTGACATAAGAGACAGAGTATCAATGTTTCGCAAGATGTATGAACAACTAAGAAAGGAGAATAATTATGTAAGGAGGCACAAAGAAGATATCCTTAATTCTGATTAATTCGGATCTATGTTTCTTACCCATAACGGGTTGTAGAAGTCAGATCTTAATCGCTGTCCAGTAAATGTAAACAGGACCATCAAAGCGAAACTGGCTTTTGCTCAGTGGCGACCCCTTACTTACTTGGCAAAGGCTCAGAACGATAGTAGGCAGTTTTCCGCCAAGGTTAATAAAGTACTAAAGTTACCTGTTACGGCTACTGTTATGTCAGAGAAGCCCCATTTACACGGCGCGTGTATCGCGCTTAACCCTAAACCGCCGAAACCGTACGAACTCTGTAATCTGTGCTAGTGTACACGCTCCTAAAGCCGCCGGTAGCCGCAGGTTAATCCCATTATATGGCACATACCGTAATTACTTATTAGGTCATCCTCTCAAACTGGGCTGACAAGTACCATTTTAAATTGAAATTAAAGAAATGACCTACTTACTGAATCCGAATGACTAATAAGAAAATCTAAGTTGAAAGAATAATAAAATTGTTATAGTGAATAATGGCCATTATCTTAATGAAGAGCAGTTAATTTCAGGAAGCTTGTAAAAGTCGATATAATTACTATAAATATACGTTTGAATGTAAATTCCTAACAAAGAACAAAGCTTTTAAAGAAAGCCTCATATGAATATAAGTCACCAGTAGCAAGTGTGTAGCAATAAGGACGTCATTGACACGTCCGTTATCGGGCGAACCCTTACGCAATAATGAGTTATGGAGTGGCGGCCGCAGGCAACTCCATAAAAGTATTGAATATGGGTTATTGACAAATATTTATGGCGTATAAAGAGGGGATAATTACAACTCTTTAGCACATAAAAAGCTCCGTGCGGAAGGGTGCGGCACGCTGTAAAAATTTATCACCAACATTGTCACCCGCCGGGCCCCGACCGACTAATAAAAATGATACATTATGACGCTGCTCTGCACAAAAAACGTACTCAATAAGTAATCGATAGATTTAGTGGCCTCCCTTAAATAATGCTGTTCAATGAATGTATTCATTATAATAGCTTTTACTACTAATTACATCAAATAATTTTGCGTGATGATCAGTTATAAATATGGACATTTTATTCGTTAACTAAACCAATTTGGGAACACGTCAAAGTAGAAGATAGGCTTAAAACAAAATGCGAGTATTTACTTGTTTAAACTTTTACATTAAGCCTAGTATTATAATTCTGATCACATCACGAGTGCGGTTCGCTGTTCGTCCTCCAAACATAACGAGGAATGTTATTAAAAAGTTATGGGATAAGCCTGTACGTGCCGCGCGCGACGCCTCCGCCTAATCACAAACTTTAAAATTATCTTATACTAGAGACTTTGTGTATTATCAATACGTACTTTCAATACTAATTACAGTATGACGTTACAAAAAGTTTCTTTAACAAAGAAGCAGAATTTCTTCGTTGTTGATAATATAATTGTCGTTTTAATAAAAAGTGTAAAGTGCCTCGTGTCAGCACTCGCAAACGACAAAATATTTTGCCTTTTTCAATTAAGCGCGATGGCTGAGTCCAGAGCCCGGCCGGGAATTAATTCCACGGCTAAGTAGATAATGTAAGGAGCTCCCTCCTCGTGCCGCCTCTTCACGCCTCGAGGAGAACTTTCAATTATGATTTTGTCTAATTTTAATTAAGTGCTCTCAAAAAGGCTTTTCTTCAACGAAATTAATATTTGAATATAATTTGGGCGGAGCGGGCGGGCGGAGTTTGCCGCTCGAGGAATAATTAATTCCATTATATAGGTAAGTGGTCTGGTCGCTTCACCACCCCCGCTCCCGCGCCCGCGCCTCGCCACGACACTATACAAACTCGTCACACCAAATGATTGCTTTTCACTGCTGACATTTTCTAACTGACGTCTACTCCGGAAATATTTATTTAAAGGAAAAAGTAGTCTTACATTGATCAATATTACCGATTAATAAACATCGCATAGAAAGTAATTACATAGAGCTGGAGTGGTAGTGAGTAGTGTTAGTGTGGAGCTACAATTTGCGCAACAGGTCGGGGCGGAAGCGACCTGCAGCGGCGTGATTGCGACCAAATGTTTCCTTTACAACGTCTGGTTAAGTTTTTGCTCTGTTTTTTGTTCTCTCTCGCTGATAAGTATGCTATCGATAGGTTCGACTGTGTTATTTGTTTAGGTTGAAACTAACTCTTGACGGAAGTGATGCCGAAGAAACTATAACTTAATTTTTTACCTTTTCCACCTTGACGAAAGTAGGCCAAGTCTCGATCAGAACAATATTAAGCAGTCTTTATTACTTATTTATTTATTTAGTATTTATGAGAGCTCTGATAGCTCTTTTCCATAAATGTATGTTCACCTTCGTAATCGTACGTAGGGACAGTCTGACTTTTGAGCGAATATGAGAGTTAATTATTATTGTTTCTTTGTTCAGGTGTGTCAGTGAGACCGCTATCGACGATGCGTCAAGAGTCTTTACCGATGTTGGCGGAGAGGTTGCTGGCGACGCGCGCCGCGGCACTAGTCGCGGGGCTCCCAGCCGAGCTGTACTCAGGCGCACTGCTGGCTGCTTGGCCACCCTCGCCTCCCGCGCCGCTACTACCTCCCCAAGACATGGAGCGCGCACGCAAGCGACGTCGCACGCCCAAGCTGGAGGAGACCACTACCGCACCACCTTCTCCGCCGTCTTCAGGCTCATCACCCGGAGCTGCTGACCCACCTCGGGATAAGCTGTTCACCTGTAAGGTCTGCTCACGTTCTTTTGGCTACAAGCACGTCCTACAAAATCATGAACGTACACACACTGGTGAGAAGCCGTTCGAGTGTGGAGAATGCCACAAGCGTTTTACGCGCGACCATCACCTTAAGACACATCTGCGCCTTCACACGGGTGAGAAGCCATACAGCTGCCCGCACTGCCCACGTCATTTTGTGCAGGTTGCAAACTTACGGCGACATCTTCGCGTTCACACTGGCGAGCGACCTTATGCGTGCGCTCGTTGTCCAGCTCGATTTTCAGACTCTAATCAACTAAAAGCCCATGCATTAGTTCATGAAGGCGATGCTCCTTTCGCGTGTCGATGTGGGGCGCGCTTCAGGCGTCGGCAAGCAGCCGCTCTGCACAGATGTGCCAGCAGTGGTTATGAGCCTGACACGCCGAGTCCGCCCGTGGCGACAGCGCCCGACTGGCGTTGGGACGAGTGGCCCGAGCAGACCGAGCCCGAAGACCTGTCTCTGCCGCGAAGGCCGGCCACGCCGGACTCCCCCACCGACCTGCGCGTCCACTCCGCGTAGTGGGCACGCGCCCCCGCGCCACGTGCGCCGCTGAGCCGGTATACGAGTTCCTCCCGCGTAGACCCCGCGCTGCCGTCGGCCGTCGACGCCGATGTTCTCGCACTCATTTGTTCAGGATGCTCGCTCTTGATCCCTTGATTCCTTACAAATTCCTTGCGAAGTAAAAATAATAATTATTGCTGTTAGAAATAACGTTACAGTTATACTTTTTATAGAACATTTTTTGCTTTTCTCAGTAAGACTACCGACGTAGTCTCGTTAGGTAGTCCTCTATTCTTTTTTACGATTTAACATTTGCAATGGTCGCCATAAAAAGTACGTTTTTCATCCATGTTACAGTTTAGAAGTTTATTGTTGTAGTATTTTGCATAATCGCAAGGCGAGGTGAGGTAAATACGACAACTTTTTGTTCTATTGTGTTGCAATATATTGCACAAAAGATATTTTTTGATTTATTGGTATCGCCAATTGTTTCGTGATAAAAACAAAAACAAATGTTTCGCTATGTTTGACACTATTGATTTTCAATCGGTGTCCTCCCTCGCGCTTAACGAACGGAAACTGGAATATGGTCTAGCCGGAGAAGGTCGCGACATTGCCTCATTATTTCGGCGACAAAGGCTACTTCACAAGCGGTAATTACTGCGTATTGAGCTCGATATCGAGTTCCGACTGACAAAGCTATTGCTATTGTACGCGTCCCGATCCGTAGCGACTCATGATAACCGGTTCGTAATCACTCTTTTCATTATTTTATTTCTTAAGTTTTCTTTCAAAAGCTTTTTAAAAGTTTACTCGCTGTGGATATTTCTTTTCTTTTTTTGTCGCAATACCAAATAATACTGGTTTGGAATTTATGATACGGGATAATTGTATAGAATCATGGGGTTTTGTAATTATAATAATATGATTGAGAGCGGGTATCTGAGCGTCCTGAGAGCGGGCTCGGAGGTCCAGCCGACCGCGCGCACCGTGCTTCTGTACATAATGCTGTCTCTAACAAGATTATTTATTATTTATCCATTAGTTGGTAGACGTTGCGATATCTTTACGGTATCAAAGCCGAAAACGGTATTCTTAATATTACGTGTACATATTTATGTAGTCTTACGTAAAGTACGTAGTAGAGAAGTTGGTATCTCGAAAATTATATTTCAAATTATTTAAATTCGATTCGGAACCCACTTTCAATGGGCTGTGCTGTATTGTATGGGGAATATAGACAAGTGGGTAATATGTGTTATAGAAATTATTGTGTAAAGTGGGACCATGTGTACTGACGATTGCATACGTTAAGGTGAATATTTACTTGTAATTATAAGCAACAGTCAGAATATTTAAAGTGTTGTACATATTCTTAGAGTTAAATTATTAACATCTCGTCGTACGCATGGCCCCTGTGTTATATATGAATGTGTCCTCATTCACACGAAGATGGTGTATTGAGCATTATTGCAATTTGTTCTACGGGTATTAGTTTCCTACTAGATGTAATGTTTTATTTTCGATGTTTTGATATAATTTAATGTCAAAGTAGTTGTTCTGAACGTTGTAGCGCACATGGTTTATGATGATCATTATGTAATTATATGGTTAGGCTGTACTGTTTGTTGATTATTATTATTTTATCTTCTCGAGTCAAGTTTGTAGTAAACGTAGGGTCTTAGCGTAAGTAATGGGTGTAGGTGATCGATATATTTTTTTCCAAAGAAATAATTGGTACAAATATAAATGTGTACAAATTTAATGATAACTTTCGATTAGAAGTCGTAATTTCATGTTGCAATGTTGTAATATTATGGTAGTTAGCGTAAAGTTAGGCGTGTCTGCCATTATCTACCTCAGTTGACTACGGTTACTACGCCAGGGTAAAGAGCCAAAGTTCTTGGAATATTTTCTATAGTCTGTCAAGGTACAGGTGACAGGATGGTACAGCGGCCACCATGTGGTGTCGCGTGGTCATTACTTTGAGACTGATTTTTATTCGTTATTTTGGTTACCGCTTGTACGGTACTTGTGAGCACTAGCCTTTGGACTGACGAATATATTTATGTATCTTTAACTTTTAACATAAATACTACATCATCGATAAATATCTTTCGATCAACACAAAGGTAAAGATACATATTTATGAACGCAGTGTAAAGGTTGCAATTAATTTGAGTTCCTATTTAATTAAAGATTTGAAGTGTTGTTTTGGTTAATATTATATGTTTATAATTAGTTAGCGGCGTATATTTCGGTGCCATGTCGAAGTGCAGACCAAATCGTAAGACAACATTAGTTAAGATTGTCTGTTAAATGTTACTGTAGGAATCCAAAACCTATCTACCTCATGTAAAATCGAAATACAGGTATTCTTAAAACATTCGTAATGAATTACTTAGTTCGGAATAACTGTACTTGTACAAAATAATATAAGATATAAATGTGTCATAATTATGGTACGACTATTATATGTATTTCTTTATCAATGTCCAGTACATAATTATTAAAATAAAGAGATGTTTGTTATTTATACATTTGTATTTTTCTTGTTTCCAATTTCCCCATTTTATTATAGCGCCGATACCCAAGTCTTCTTAAATCACATACAATCAAGTGTAATTTATTTCGTAATATTTAACAGAATTATGAAAAAAATACACACACTTATTAATAATCAAATATCTATTCTTAATACTGAAAAGCAATAACAGTATATTCCTCCATTTTTTAATCGATTCACATTTAAATTTGAAATATCAAGCACTCAATATGAATTATTCTATAGAATATACATAGAATATACTCTATAAGATCATATAAAGAACTACAAAATATAAAAGCTATACAAAGTTTTCAATGTCCCTCGTAACTACCAATAATATACAGTTCAATAAAACTAATTTGTTGTTAGTGTGTGATAGGCCCACAGTATCTACTAAGTAAGAAAAGTGTGTAATTTATCTAAGATCGGCCGTAAGTAATGAGTTGTCGCACTAATACACTCACATTACACCGAGTGTACGCACACGGCACGCACACTGACGCATTCGTCCCTACCTCACGTTCAGGGTCGAATCACCCTGTATGGAGGTAGCGTCTTCATTTAAAGTATTCTTTTTATTATGTCAATTTAATGTTTTAGTACAGTCGATTACAAGTACTTTTAATGTAATAATCTATGCATTAAAGTTATAATGAATGCGAAACTTATTATACGTTACCAAATTTTAAACAGAGCACAGCATAAATTAAAAAGACAGATACATGATGATGCCAAAAATATTTTGGTTATGAGACGAATGACAATGTATCTATAAGTTGTTCTTCCTTTTGAATTTTTTAATACTAATTTCTGATTAGTGTTGTATTCTATTAATACTGTAATTCTCCATCCGATTAATATCTGCCCTTTACAATTCCAGAGAGGTATTACATATCTTTGATTTTTATTTGTTTTTGATAGAATGTATCTGTGGAGATTTTTAATTATATTTAACACAGTAAAATAAAAAATACAATAAACGTAGGTATAGGTACTCAGCTGTTTGGGGGCTCGGAAACAGTACAAAAACTAGCAACTTTTTAGATTTGACATAATACTAGGAAGCCATTTTGTAACATATCTTTTTAAATTCATAGCGAGATTTTAACATTGTAACGTTACCCAAGTCTCAAACAAACAAGGGCGAGGGTGTAATATAATGAATGCAAAAATACGGCTGCGCTTGCAAAATACTAAAAATTGAATGGGGTTTTTTATGTCAACCGAAAGAAATATTATTCAAGGTTTAATACGAACTGTGAAATATTTAAATACTAAAAAGAATTTTACCGCTACATGTTTTTAAGTGTTGTAGTAAAACGTTGAAGAGCCCTAAAGTTAGTTAGGTATTTTCTTTTTGAAAAAAGTGTTTTATTTTCTTCTTTTTAATAGTGTTGTAGTACGCTGATGGGGTAGCTGTTGAGCATAAGATTCTGGGTTCATTCAAATCAGGCAATAGCTAGATATTTCTTGATTTGTATTCATAGTATGGATCGTGGCCTTAAGATGATCTTCCCCCATTGGAGTTTAGGTAACGTAATGGGTATTTAAGTACTATCAAAAATGTTCGGTAATCGATGATAGTTCTACGTAGGACTTCATAAAGTGCTGTATATTTCAAGTTTTGACGTATTCAATACGACTACTAAACTTAATTTAATTAATTTAAACTTCTAACTGCTACGAGATACGTGCTACGCGCGGGCTACGAGCTACGCCTGCGGCTACGAGAATGTAACGGCGCAAACTCTTTTTATCAAAACGTAGCCATTCCGTGGTGATTAATAGTGTTTATGCTATCAGCTATAAATACAATATGTAGGGCAAGATAGAGTCGTAATTCAAGAACCGCCTCACGCCACCGCATAGCTCGGAGACAAACGCACCGGAATCCGGTTGGTATTTATTAAATTAATCGTTCACCCCGTACCCCGCGCCCACACCCGTCACACTCCACGATTAGTTCGTGTGTTTCTTGCCAAATATCCTTTATAACTATTACCGGAATACGGCCGTATTGTATGGCCAGAAGCTAACAACTAATGATCACATTACTGTTTAATTATATAAGTTATTTTTTAATTACGAGGTTAAAATTAGGTTTACGATTTACTCATTTGCATTTTACGGCCCAATAAAGTAAGAGTAAAATTGGTTAATTTGGAGTCTACCGCGTGCGCTAAAGATTACATTGTTCAGGATACTATTACCGTCTTATCAACAAGCCCTATATAAAACAACGATATAATGGCTAAGTTTGAGAGAACAATAAAAAGGCGTTTTATCAAACATCTTAGTAGTATCTGTTCAAAGAAAGTACGTAACGTCGTAACTTATCTATAGAGTAAATCAAGATTAATAGCTAAGTAATAGGCATGTTTGAAACAGTAGTCGCGAAACGCTCGGGTAGAGGACGAGCGGGCGAATTATAATTTATTTGGAGAAGTGGCAACGAACCCCGCACTCCCCG